ATAAATGTTTGCAAGTATAAATTTTATAGTTACTTGATTAAATATATAGTTTATTGATCAAAATTTCTTATAAACACAGATTAACTTATCTATATTAATTAACCTTATTATAATATAAACATATAAGCATTCGATTTGGTTTTTTATTTGATATGTAAACAAAAATACTTTAATTTAAAAAAACTGTTAATTCTTTATAATTGTTATTATTAATTTTAATTATATTAGATAATTATTAAATTATAACAGTATTTTTTAAATATAAAAAACTTAAATAAAAAAAAAGATTTTGCAAGGCCCTGCTTCAATGAATTTGTTAGCTATGAAATTTATATATAATGAAATTAATTTTTTACTTTGTAAACAAAAATATTTTATATAATGAAATTAACTTTTATATAATAAAACTGGATATGAATCAATACGTGGAATAATAGGTATAAGTATATTTATAAACTAATGAACAAAATAGTAAAATAATGAATATTTTTTTTATTACAAGATTGGATAAGTTATATAAGTTATATACAGTCATGTGACTATCCCTGTAATTTAGTCCTAAATTAATTTTAAAGTATAAAACTAAATGAAATTAGCACAATTTTAAAGCACACTTCAAATTAAATTAATGTTTACACCTTATTTATAAAGTATGTACTTATTTTTATACGTTACATTCAATCGAAAAATATATTTGATATTTTGAGTTATATTTCTATTATAAAACAATAAATGTTTGAAAATAACAAATATTGGTAAATAACATTTACTAAATTTATCTCTTATAATATTCAATTAATGTCATCTATATATTTCTTAAATTATATATAGGTTTTTTATTTTCAGTGTTAGATTTATCTGTAATTTAATTCATTTTAATTTTATTCTACTTATTACAGCAGTTTGGGTAGAATAAGAATTTATTTAACACAATTTAGAATCAAAGTTTTTATTAATCTCAATACTTAATTAGTGATTAAATAAAACCATTCTGGATTAATAGAAATTAAGTAAATTAAATAATATTTGATTATGATACATATTTAAAAAATATATTTAATATTATATTTGGTAATATATTTTTTAAATAGTTTCCTAAAATTATTATGTTACAATTCAATATTTCAATTTAATATTAGTTCTATTGATATTTTTATTTTTAGTCTATTTCCATTGTAATATAATATATTCATTTCATCTCCTATCTCCTTAAGTCATCATATTTCCTTCAGTATTATATATTGATATATTAAGTATATATATTATTTGACTATATATTTTAATCATTTTAATGAATATATAATTTAATATAACTATTTTATTTAATTTTATTTTATATTTGTATATATATATTAATATACGTGATTTTTTAGAACACGAGCAACTAGTAATAAGTTATTCATTATCATGGACACGAAGATCTGATGTCTTTTCAAGCAAAACTAAATTTGCTAAAGTTTGGGTACCAGAAGGTACTTAGTTACTTCAAGATTTTGCAGAATAATTAAAAAAAATTGTATACAAATATTAGCAGTACTATTATACGTTTTAAAAATAACAAGAATAGTTATATAAACATTCAAAAAATAAAATAAAAATCAATTTAATTTATTTATTAATTTGGGAGTATTTTGTAATTTATTTAATGTTACTAATGATTAATATCTCTTACTCACAATTTACGTAAACGCTAGTTATAAAAACAGTATCTTATATTGAGTTAAAATAAAGTAGTTTCTATTACAGGATTTGTTGTACTGAAACTTTTTACGGAGTAAATTACGATTTTATTATGATATATATTAATTATTAATAAGTATGCGTTTTGTCTATTGATAAATAGGAAATAATTTAATTGGCCTTTTTTAAATTATCGAAGCTGAATTCATCAATTTCATTCGTAAGTTTTTCATTTTCAATTATTTTGGTATCCAACCTATTTTTTAACATTATAATTATGGTATGTATAAGCTTTTTGAATTATTTTTTAATTACTATTTGACTTTCTATTAAATTCCTTAAAAATCCTTTTCTTTATTTAAAATTCTCACTGATTGCATATGTATAATAAATTGATTATGTTTTATTTTTGTTTGAATTTGGTGTCTAAATAAGTTTACACTAAAATCATCATAAATGAGCTATAATTATACCAATATATAATTATAGTTTTAATAGGCAGTGATCTCCCAACTTTACAAAGACACCGTAATTATAAAAATTGGATTGTAAATAAACAAGAAGATAGTATATGTCTTAAAATTGTATAATCTGGTTACAAATCAAAAGGCCACTGTCCAATAAAAAAAAATAACGTAATTTTATTATAATAATTCTTATTCATTTTATTAATTACATTCACATTGTTCGGAAAATAATCCCACAATTTGACTAGTCAGCCAAACGTGCAATAATTAACGTAGAACAATAAAACCCACTATATGTTATGTGGGGTTGCCGGGCAAGTAAAGGGTGAATGCACTGATTAATAATTAACACATGTCTTTATTATTTCTATTTATTTGAATTGATTTACAAAAGGGTGAATTACAGACGAACTTTATATTTCTTGATAATCTTGTGGTGTTGAAATATATTTACTATGAATGAAGCAGGTTATAATCTATTGAATATTATCACTAAGAGGTTATGGTGATTGTAATGCTCTGATCGAACACTGGAATGCTATTGTGTTTATCTTAATACGTGTGTAGTTGCCTTTAAATATCGGTCGTAAGAGAGCCGAGATGGAGGTTATGCGAAGCTGTGCGCCATCTGTGGCGGGAACAACTTGCAGTTGGAGGGATTGAGAAGCCAATGTGGCGTTTATAGCTGGTCTTGTTCAAGAGTATGTCCGGGAAGCTTCCGTAGTTGGACTTTATCCGTCCGTCTTCTACATAAGCCGAGAAATCAAGAATGAGTACTAGCTGTAAGGACTTACTTGCAGTGTATCGTGATTTTCCAGTCTCTCTTCGATGGCTTGTTATTACGTTCCCTTGCAATGTTGCAACCCTTCAGTTCTTCCTTGTCTCCAAGTGAGACCACAAGTGGTCAGGTCCCACGCAATCCAGTCTTGATGAGATCAATTCAACTGTACACTAATTCACAATAGTGGAAAGAACTTATTATTAAAAATCAACTAGCTAAACGCTTCATCTCTCCGATCCTCCTCCGTGAGAGTTGGTCGTGACTTATCCTTCACTGTAAGAAGTATTTGGAAAGAGTAAGTGAGGGTACATTACGTAGTCCCTTCTTAAAATGATTCACTGATCCCGCTCCACTTGGGATCCCTTCTTCCTTTATTAATTAACCAATCAGTGGTTGATCTTGGGTCGCACAATAGATTATGCACGCCTTCATTTCCACTTCCTTCCGGGCTCAGTTCCGAATTTGCTAATTGGGAAAGTGTCGGAAGGTGGCGAGCCTTTTCCATTGGTCACCTCTCTTTGGTTGCCTCATCCCTCTCTGGGACTTGGCTAGAAGAAGGGTCCGCTTGGGCGTGGTCAATTTTCCAATACGATCGACCAGATGTGGCATAGCCAAGAACAATGCAAGCATTGTCTTAAAGGCCGAGTGCGCACGTATGGTCATTGCATGTTGTTGCACGTACGGGTTTTGGGTTTTAGTAAATGTTTGTACTCAATGCTTTACGCATATCTGATATTCGTTTCGAATCTACTTTGGGGTTCTCCCGGCAGTAAACCCATTAGGTTCTACTGCACTGGGAGTATGAGCACGTTCCGCTAGAGTTTTCCAGATGTTTTATGACACTAGTACAAATAATTATGAGCAGGAAAGTTTTGAAGTCTTAAATACAATTTTCATGACATTACTTGTCAGATATTTTATTGCCTTACTAAACGGAGTCTCTTATTCTCAAACACACATTATTGATAATATTAATAGATTGCTATATAGAGTATAATAGTACAAAGAAATTTTGCAATTGGAATTTTATTTAAATAATTGTAGAATTAATGTAAAATATAACAAATATAATATTATTATTTAAGTCTTTGAAATCATGAATATTAATGTAAATATTATTTCATGTTAATGTATTTTTTAAAATAGAGAGCATATCTCATACGTAACACATTCTAATTACGTGTAATATTTCCACGTTTATAGTATTTTTTTTCATCAAATTAATTATAAAGTTCACTAAAGCATCAATCCCTTGATTAATCAACTGAATTCATATGTCGAGTCATATTTGTTAATAATATAGTTATTGCTTATTATTCGGAATTGGAGCAACTTCGAAGAATTTAAAAATGAGAAAAGTTCAAGCTCTCGGATGCTCATGTTTGTAAACATTGATTCTACGAATTCGTAAATAGTCTACGCTTTATTTTATATTATCCTACGATATTTTCACATAGCAACGTCGATGAAAATTCTCGAACCTTCAAAGGCCGTGTCTTTCTGTAAACTGCTACGCGAATATTTAAGAGCAGCTCGCCACGCATCGGGGCTCACTGTAATTTTACCAATCGTTCACCTATCTGTTGTTGCGCACAGTAATTCTTAATCAATCAGGTATCAGTTATTACTCACACAGCTACTAAACTCAGCCGCATATCTGGCAATCAGTCTACAATAGACACGCACATAATCCTGCCAGATTGTGTAATAAAAAGTTAGTAAGTCAACAGTGAAGCCATAATAATTATAATCACTTAAGTAGTCATTCAGTACACAGTGTCCGTAGTTCATAAAGTGTCACTATTCAATTAAAGTTTTTAAAATAAAAATAAAACAAAATCAATTAAAATAATATATGTATTATATATTTATGTATTCTCAATGCAAGTATCACATATAAATCTAAAAATTTGGATTTTATGCTACATATTATAAATGAATATGCAGATTTAAATCTAATACGTAGATTAAACATAATAAATAAATTATATAACATTTCCTAATCACTTAATAATTTTATAATTCAAATTTTTACTAATAATAATAATTAATTTTTTAATTAATTTGTATACGAGATATCATGGAAAGTTTTTGTGACTTTTGAATAATATTAGGGCACCGACGACGATAGGTTAATCTACAATCTTGAAAAAATCCTTCATTTCTGGGAAATCCATGTGAACCATCTGAATAGGTTATCAATCCTACAAAATATATATTATTGTAAGTATATTATATGTATATTATATATATAATATATATTTATTATATGCACTTGATTATAGAATTTGTATGTATATTTTATTTATTTATTTTGGAAAATTTAAAAACAATTTATAAACTAATGTATGTTAATCAGTGCTATGTGTGCTTATATAAAATACGAATAATATTCAAAATATTTATAAATGAAATAAAGCAATAAATAACGAATTTGTTTTTAATGAAGGATAAAGTATAGATCATCATAAATTAATTAAGAAATATCAATGTGTTTGGAATTGGAGCATTTTTCAAGACTGATTGTGCGTATTCTCGAATATTCTAAGCCTTATTTTCGAGTGTTCTACAATATTTTCCGCATAGCAACATCGATTGGAATTCTCCAACCTTCTAAAGCTTTGTATTCTTGGAGTTCTCGAAAGTTTTAGAGTTTTAGTCTCTCATGTCATGCCAGACTTTTCGCATGCATCGCCTACACCTTGTTACCAGCTAAGTAAGCTGCTGCGCGGATATTTAAAGGAAGCACATTACGCTACGGCGCTCATTGTAATTAAATAATTTACCCAGAATTTACATTATACATTATAAGTAATACACGTTAAATTCTAAAGTACGCAACAATTAACAAGCAGTCTGCAGCTGACTGCAGTACAAGAACGTCATCGTTCATCACAAGATCAGGCAAGGTAACTGCATCTCTTTGAGTACCACAAGTATCTAATACAGAAGCAATAAGACATTAAGCGTGCGGCTAACAAAAGTCCGATAAGACCGTTCTAATAATAGTGCAACTAGCACCACGCAATAAGACACTAAGCGTGCAGCCAACAGAAGGCCAATAAAGCCATTCTACTAGGAGTCCGTCTAGCACAAGGCTAACAAGGTCTCTTCAGAGAGAAAACGTCAACAAGTTACCATCACGTGGCACTACACGAAGAAGTACCAGAGATTTACGACTTCTTACTTCTAAGTGTAATAATTTACTACCAAGCACAGTACGTCAAGAGGATCCGAAGTTTACAACCTCCTACCTCTGCATGTAGTGCATGCTAACGCCACGTGGCAACCATTACGGAACTGCAAGATCTCACCGATTCTCAGCTCCAACTTAGAATCATTATTATGTAGTTTGTAAAATAAAAGGCAATAAATATCATTGAATTAATGCGCTATCCCTTCCACTTGCCAGCACTTTTTTCTCCCACAGTCTAATCCAATCATCTTGGTCCTTCGACCACTTAATGAATGGAATTCTAAGCACAATGGTTAAAAAAATGAAAATTAGAAATAAATTTTTTTATTGATATATTTTTTCTGCATAATGAGTAATTATATTTGCAGAATGATCAAAATATTATAAATATTGTAACGAATTAAATTATCTTTTAGTTCAAAAAATACATTTATGTTTTGCTGATTTAAATGATACGGTATAACAATTGTTTCAAATTTATCAAGAGTTAAATATTCGGTTATGTTAAAGCAATCAACACAATATAACTGGGCGGAGTTATAAACTTCATAAAATGATGAAAATACCTTTCTGTAGATTTTTAGTAAATGAATAATTTAAATTTACACAATTTCCATATAATGAACTTTAAATATATACAATTAATAGTATTTCAAAAATACATGGAAAATTAATTAATAGTAATATTATAATTATATAAGTAAATATTTTATATGATAATAAACTTATTTTCTTGGCTTCAGTAAGAATCTGTTTAAAATTTTTTACATAATTCTATTTCCATCATAATAACATTACTTACATTTTTTAATTAGGAATTTTTATAAAGTAACCCTATAATTATTTATTTTATTTGTCAAAGTAATAGGTATTATAAATTGAATTAAAAATTTAGTTTAAATTAATTGCGTTTTTATTTTATAAATTAATTATTTAAGAATATATGTATAGTGCATATAAACTAAAGTTGTACAGTGATTTTATATAAAAGCAGATTGAAACTAAAAGATTGAAATCAATTATTTATGTTTATTACTAACAAATATTACGGAATCACTATTCCGTCTTGAATTTAATTTATTAAAAATAATTAAAAATTCCAAATTTATAAGAAATATGAATCACTGAATACATTATATATTTTATCCACTTCACTGTAACTAAGAATCTCTAAAATAAAAATTTAGATATAATGAAAATCAAGTGGGTTTGTATGTATAACAAGCATGTAATTACCTAAAATCAAACAAAATAATTTGTACTTCTTCAAAAACAACTTGAGATCATTTGTTTTGAATTATATCTATTCTATAGATATCGATTTCGATGTCTTGAATTATCTAGAAACCACATATTTGAACTCTTAATTTTTATTCTTTTCAAAGCTATAAGAATATAAATTGAAGCATCACTTAAGCCTGTACATTTTTCTATAAATCAGCTGTTAAAGTTGTTTTATTAATATATAATTATAGTATTATATTTTTATTTCATAATAATTATATTTTATTTATCTAAATTGTTAATTATAAATTCATTTCTAAATGAATTTTCTTATATATTCAATGTTGTTAAAAATTGCAAGAACCTTTCGCCAGTGTTAGACATCTGGCAAAGGCCGTTACTGCTACGTATCTGGGTATACCTAAGTCGACAGCCATCTGAAGAAAACTTCAACGGTTGTTGGACATCTGAAAAAGCCTAAAATGCACAGTCGCAACCATTGCTTTTATCGCCATAATCGCTTCCATTGTTGTCAATGCCAGCTAGACTGTCGCGTCGATATTCAAAGTAAGCACATAATTTGCCAGAAACTATCCAGCCATGAGCTAGTCACTCAGAAACACAGCTCCCCTAGTGGGGACGCCATGGTAAGAATACGGTCTGACCGCAGGACCGCCACGGAACACGAGCTCTCTTACTCGGGACACCAACAAAGTAGCTCTTTTAGTGGGGACGCCAAAGAAGACAGATGCTTTCTATCAGTGGAGACGCCAAGGAATAAGTAGCCTCTTTCAGTAAAGCTACGACGGAACCCGCGCAGTTAGTTTCGTGTAACTACTCAGTACCATCGTACACTCACTCAAGGGATTCAATGTCAAACGCGCACCCCTTGATACTCAGTGTCATCGCACAATCTCTCAAGGAGACTACCATCAGGTGAACACTACGTGGCACTATGCGAAGAAGTGTCCAGAGATTTACGATCTTACACTTTTCCTTTTAACCATCCACCACCAAGCACACCACGTTAAGAGGATCCGGATTTACGACCTCCTATCTTTCATATGGTGCATGCTCCCACCACGTGACAACCACAAAGGAATATCAAGATATCGGTGATTATAGTGTATTTGTAAAATAAACGCAATAACAAGCACGAAAGGCAGATGTGTTAAATACTGAATTGAAGCGCTACACCTTCCAACTTATCCATATTTTTATTTCACCAGTAAACTGGTGGCTATAGTCTAATTCTAAACAAATATAAATATATTAATATATATTTTGTGTTGACATTAAAAATTAATGTAAAAAGGATAAAGTAAACCAAATATTCAAGAAATTTGTTAAATGAATAATTGAACATAAAAATAATTAATAACTACTTAATAATTAACAATATAGAAGATTACTTAAATAAAAAAGGTAATATGACCGACGGCCAAATTGTAAAAAACAAAATAAATAAAAAATATATATATATATATATCAATGGACTATTATATTTATAACTGTCAAAAAAGTCTAAAAACACACAACACAATTTTATAACAGTAAGAATTACTATTCGACAAAATTAATTTGTACAAGAAAAACTGAATGAATATTATAGAAAAATATGTAATAAAATATTATTTATACACAATAGAACATTTTTTATTTTTGCAGAATTCGTAATAATATAAACGCATATTAAATTTGCAATATTTTTTGGAACAATTGTAATTCAATAAGAATGACAGAATGATTATTTTTTACTGATGTTGACAGACTGCATATCTTGTAGTTGAATCAGAGTTATTTAAACAATATGGTACATATTATCAAAACGAATAGAAGGAACTGAGAAAAAGAAGAAAAAAGGAGAATAAATGAATATAGAATAACAAAAGTTTTTTTATATAAAAGATAATTTATGATTGATAATTTATGATTTATTAATATTACCATCTAATATTAATAGACACAAGACTTATTTTCGAGTATTACTACTATAAAAGCGGCGCCAATATTTATTTAATAACAATTCCTATTATAATGCATGACTTGCAACTAAATAATACAAAATAAAATAAAATGAAGATTTAAATAAAATGAATAGTTGCACACATACGTTATAAGTGAATAGTAAAAGAAGAAGCTGAGATTGATTACAATTAAAACGTGGATAACTTGGAGATGAATCAATCATAATCCAGTATAATTATTCAAATTTCTGTCAACTTATGATAACAATAGAGTGGATGATATTTTTAGAGGTAATGAAAAAGTAGAAGAAACCACTGAGATGAATAAGCTACAATTAATAGTGTACTCAGGTCAGGTAAAAAACGCACTGATCCTATACTAAAAATAATATGTTATAATAAACATAAGCAATAAACTACTGTTTCGTGTAGTGCAGCATTGTTACGGATTGCAGCAGTTTTAAGCAAAATAAAAGTGGGAGTTTTAGAAAGTTTTTAGAAAATTTTAAAAAATTTTAACCATTAAATAATCTGAAACACTATGCCTTAGTTTTCTAGAAATTGTCATAAAATTTAATTGGATATTTTCATTTAATTATTAATATCTTTAAAATTGTGCTTGATGTTATATAAGAAAAAAATATACACTAATTCTTATTCGTTTAAAAAAAAAGGGCTGCCGCGTTAGAAATGCGATTAGTCATATAAAAATAGCGCCGGATATTTGTTTTGATTTTTTAAAAATAATTTTCAATCTTTTATTTAGAAATTTTCATTCGTACTTTTTAATTTCATTACTTTATCTTATTTATATTAAATTTATGTTAAATTACTTTATAATAATATTTGCATTAATATAAAAATTTTGTTAATTAATTACCAAATTAACTAATATTTGGGTTTGAAGCAGTTGAAAGCAGAATCCAAAAGTGGGAGAGATATAAGCTCCCGGACATTTACGTTTATAAACACAATTTAGCGAATTCGGGAAATTCCCTACGTTGAAAACTCGAATATACTATTACAATTCAGAATAGCAATGCCGATGAACCTTCCAAGGCTATATCCTACTGATGTCACGACAAAGATCGGCATAGCAACAGACACCGGCGCGCTACCGGCGTCGCAAGCTCCTACGAGAATATTTAAGAGCAGCGCTTGACGTTGCAGCTCCCACTGTGCCAGTAATAATTACGCAGTCACTACGACGGGTTCACTATTCCTATTCTATCTACAAACATTCATACTACAGTCATTACTCACTGTATCTATACAAGTACGTAATCAACAATAAATAAGCAATCTAACAAACCAATAGTGACGCCACACTAACAGAATCCGTTAAACTAAAACTTAAACTTATACCCAAGAAGCGCTAGTGCAAACATAAACTAAGAGTGAAATTATCGAAACTATAACTACAACATAAATTAACGGATCACACCGACAGCTAAATCAGCAGCGACTCAAGCCTTCCTTTAGTAAGCATCGGTTACAACAACGACATTTCTCACTGAAAGAAGGATTCACTCATCAGTACATAAAATAATTGAAGAAACTTCATACATAAGTCACTCTTACTTTCCATTCATACACTCCTATAACCATTGATTATTATTATATATTATATTTAATAAATGAAAGACCAAAATATACAGTGTGTAGAATTAAATAATTGCATTGCCTTCTCTACTTGCCAACAACACCTCCGCCGACCATCATTGGGAGGTTTTTCAGTCTGATCCCAGACAACTAACTATAGATAATTATAAAATCCATGACATAAAAATATCAATATTTATAATGTTTAGCAATAAAAAATATGAAATTTAAAATTTAATACTTTTTACCTAATCCCCATATTCGACCACCTCGAAATTCTCCTTCATATTTCATTCCATCGGATCTCCAAAACACTCCATGGCCATGAAACCATCCTTGCATAAATTCTCCTTCGTATCTTATATTATATATTAATAATATATTAATAATTAATCTTATATTTTGTATATCAATTGTAATGTATTCAGTTAAATGTTAAATTCAATATACTGAAAATGGTTCAGTAAACTGATTATTCATTCAGTGAAAACTAATTACTTTTTAATATTTAAAAATGTTTAATTGAAAATTATACTTTCAATTATCAGTTAGAGATATTATTAATTATAATATAAATATAAATTGTAAACTATTTATATTAACAAAGATTTGACTTTTATATACTTAAGAAAAAACAAAGTTTGATTCATATTTATATTCATACGTTTTATTTTATTATTTTGTCAATAATTTGTATATATATATTAAAACATTTTATTCATATGATTGTATTTTGTACTCTAAATGACAATTGTTTCCAAATAAATATTTAATAATTTTATAATTTTTAAACAATCTTATTAATTTCTCAATATATAAGTAAAATAATTATTAATATTTAATGTTTTCAAAATATAAATTCATAAATTATATGTAGATATTATAAATAAAATTTTCAAATGAATATGTTCAATTCTGATATATATTCATTGAATAAAGTTATATTATTACTGTATTAAAAATGTACACAATTGTTTATATAATCTGAAATTAATTTGAATATTCATGTAATTATTTCGTTGTAGACTAAATCATATGTTACGCTATATTATTTAACTAATAGAATGTTATATTCATATTCATTTTGATCATACGTAGAATATTTATTATATATTTTACTCAAAAAGATAAAATATGGAAACGTGGATTTTCTATCTTAGATATCGATTACATAATATGTAATACAAATTACCCACCAAAACTGTTTGAATCTTTAGATTGCAATTTGTTTAAGAATTATACTGATGTTTAAAATAATAGTAAAAATTAAAATTAATTATTATTATATTCTCATAAAATCCTTTTAATTTTTTTAAATAACACTTAAAATATATTTTTATTGTATTTATTTAATTATAAATAGTCTATAAGTATATGTAAGCTCTGAATAAAGAAACATTTATAATACTGATTTTTTATGTAAACAGTGTATATTATTCTCTACAATCTATGTAAAGTAATTATATATATGAGTAAACAAACATTAATTGTTTAATTTATACACAAAATAAATTTTTAAAGAAATAATATTTAATAAACATTCGTAAAACTTAAAAAAGCATGAATACATTTCAAAATAATATGATTAAAACAAAATTTATTTATTTATATTAAAGAATTTTATAAATTAAAATATAATAAAAAAATAAACTTTATTAAAACTGTAAATAGTTTGTAATATTATAAGTGAATGTAATATGTTATGTAACTTTTGAAATATTGCATCATAAAAAATGTATAAACTGTATAATCATTAATATTAGATTATTAAATTTATATATACAAATTTATTATAATTTATCATTTTTGTTTAGTTTACATTCACAAATAATTATTTTACTTTTATTATTAAATTTCAGTCTACTTTTTAATACACTTTTATTTATTAATGTTTCTTTATGTACTTAGCTCCATCGGGAAAAGTAATTGTCCCTAATCCAGAATACAATCCATTCTGAAATGAACCATCATAACGTGTCCCATTAGGTAAAAGCAATGATCCAAAACCACTTTTTAAACCTTTGTTATTCCAATCTCCAATGTAACGGCTTCCATCTTCATATCGATACGTACCTATTCTGATTGTATCTTATTAAACAAAGAAAAAAATTACAAAATTAATATACGACTTAATCCAAAATTACGACTACTCTCAATTTATTCACACATTATATGTTATATTTGACTTACTGCGTTCCATGACTCAATATAATAGAAACTCACATAAAATGAATAAGTATCTTTTATCGTACAAATAATATTAAAGAATCAATACTAATTCAATTTTCAAAGTAGTGCGCATATTATATAGTATACTCTGTAGTATACTATTAGTAGAAGTATTATATAGTATAAATAAAAAAGGATATATTATGTTATAAAATTGTTTATAATTATTTGTACAAAATATTACAAATACATATATATTTATATTGATTATTACTTTTCTTAATATCAATGTATTCAATAATAAATTAAAAAAAATAATTGTTAAAAATTTGAAAATACCAATTAAAAATATTGATCATAAAAATTACTATATGTTATTTTCATTGCAAATTATTACATTTAAATAATGACTATTACATTTAAAGTTATAAAAGAATTAAAATTTATGATTTCATATAAATACTATTTTCTTATAATTATTTATAATAAATGAAAATCAAAAGTTTGTATAAAAAATCATATCATTATATATATTTATATATTATTTTACTATAACATGTTATATTATACTATTTTATAGTATTTTACAAGTCATACCTTATTTGCATAATTATAAGTATATTTAAGAGTCCGGTAATAACAACACATTTGATTAACATATCTATTTTTATTATATCAAGAGGAAATTGATTATCAAATTCGTTTTACAATACTAATATATAACGAGTCTATTTTATAAACTTAAAGTAATAATTACTTAGGTGTAAATGCTATTTTGACTATAATGTAATTGTTATTTAATGAGATCAAAAATATTGAAATTGCAACCTGAACTTTTGTTATAAATAGAAAGTTTTAAAGATACGTTCTGCGTATGTTTTTTAATATTTTGTTCTGTTCCCCAACACGTTTCTCTACCCCTTAAATGTAATGCTTAACCCACTCTATTGTAACTAACGATCGTATCACGCCTACATACGCGTAAGTGTTTGCGTTGCATTCGTAAATATTAATTATAAAACACAATAATAGTTGTATTTATCTTAAGATTAGCTACTTTTTTTATATTTAAAAGTATCTCAAAGAATGTCACTTAGACTTTAAGTTATCGGTATTCACGCATAAGGATTAATTATTGCATTAAAAAATCAATAAGTATCAAGTATTAAGTATCAATAATGAAAATTTCTATCTACAATAAAATATCTTATCTATTATTTTATTAGTAATAATTTGCTAGATTTGTATTTTTGATAAATTGTGAAAACTCTAAATTCAGTAATCTAAATAATTGATATTTTTTAACATAAATATGGATAAAGTAATTAAATAAAAGATGGTTTATTTGGATTAAACATAAAATAATTTCTTAATGAAAGGAAGTTAGTATCTATTCTTTGTTAAATAAAATTACAATAAATTATTATAATGAGTAATTGGGTTACTTTTAAAAAATATAGATTTATATTTATATTACATGATGATGAAATAGAAATATATGTACATATTTCAGATCTAATATAGATAATTAAGATTCTAATATACATTTGAAATTACCATATAAATGTGTTCGAGAATGTAGAAACTCCCAGCTCATTAGACATCTGGGAAACTCGAGATAAGAATTCCGTAAAAAAGGGAACTCTCGACTACTCGAGGAATGAACATTCAAACGCGACTCGGATTAACTAAATCTAAACAATTCAGGAAAACGTCGAATATCAAAAGAATATCAATTCATAAACATATCTGGCGAGAACAAAGGTCCAAGTGTCCAGCAAAAAGCCGACATAAAACTAATTCTACGAGACATTTGACACGGTCTCGCCACAAAGCCTCTATCGACGACAAGTCATAATACTTCTGGCATAATCAAGTCATAAAAATATAAGCAAAAACCACCTCGTCTTACATCCCAAAAAGGGATATTAAAGGCAACACTGCACGCATACGCTGTTGTCAAACCCAGCTACATGTAGCTCGGTTAGTGAAGCAAGAACGTGCCAAAGAAGTCCCCCTCATAATGGGGATGCAAGTAAGAAGCGCTATGATTGGAGCCGCCAATAATGAAAGAATCAATTCGATTGGAGACGCCCACAAAGAGGCGCTCTGATTGAAAACGCTAAGAAGCAGGAAATTCATAAGGACCACGCGGTGGCCGAGAATGCCTTGAATAAAGACGCCGGCAAGGCGCACAATAGTCTCTTCTCACGAGAGAAGCCAGCAAGGCTTCTTCTCCAAGGGAACCCCAAATAACAAGGATGTAGACATACACAGTAAAGGCCGATTAAGAGGCAAAGCGTAGTTATATCCAACTCATAACAAGTACAAGATAAGTGCAAATAAAATTATACACTCGCAGCAGTGCAAGACAAGGAAAAAGGAACAAGTAAACAGTGGTGCATAAGGCACAACATAATCACAACCTATAAGAAGCCGTTCGAGGCAAACTCAGCAAACAATACGAGTTATAGCCAGAAAAACACAAAACATAAACTAGAAGCTACCGCACGAAGCACAACCTGCAGACATCACTAGCTGCCATCAAGAGTACAAAATCTGCAGAACTCACAAGGTAAAAGTTCCATTCCTTAGTAGCGATAATAATACACAATATGCCTCACAAAGTAAAGAACTGTAGAGCGACCAAGCTCACACAATCTGCAAACGCATAAGAGGCAAGTTTCGTTCCCACAAGAAAGACTTACGAGGCGCAGTACGCAGCAATATCTGTAGACTAAGATGAAGTGCCACCAAAAGCGCACCTGCAGAGCCTGCAACGTAAGCAATAAGACAATGCCAAGGCAAATTCAAGCTACTGCCACGTGCCACTGCAAAAGGAAGCACAGGGGTTTACGACCTTGTTCTTCTACGTGTATAACACCACCACCACGTGCATTACATATAGAGGACCAGAAGGCTACGCCCTTCTACCTGTACATGCAACGCACATTACAGCTCTGTGGAAATAGCAATAGAAAACTCAAGAAACGAAGGCTGTTCGGGATTGAAGCAGTCCCATGAATTTCAAACAAAAGAAAGGTCATATACGCAGTCCGGCGTACCGCATGTGCGCCTAGACTGACCACGCGTGCAGTAAGACTGACCATCACGTGCGCCTAAGCTGATCCGCACGTGCGGACCGAGGCGGGTACTCGAGCAAAATGTTTACAAACAAAACTCGGCAAGTCCGAACAAGTTTACGATTTGAAATATAATTTACTGCCAGCGCTCACAAAAAAGGGACGCCTGCGTAACTTCTAGAAGCTTCGTTTTCTCACGCCAAAGGAAAATTTCTGGAAGGGACGCGCATCGACACTGTTGCCGGCGCTGAAGACGCCGCATGCACATTTAAGCGCAACGCGCCATGAGGCGACGCTCATTCGTAAAATCACTTCGCTCT